CCCCAAAACCCCAAAACCCCAAAACCCCAAATCACTTCATCTAATTGAGTTATTTCATAGTTCAGTATTTCTGCAGATCTTTGAGAATATGCTTTGTCACTTCAATTTTGAAATTGTGGAAGTCATCATTCTTTTTCTTATGAAATTTCACTACAGAATTTAGAGGATTGATGTTACCAATAATCTCTTCCTTATTCTCTTCACAGTAAGTGTCAAGGTCCTTGATGATATCTTTTGCTTTAAGCTCGACACCAAGATCGAATTTGTACCTAAAACATATAATTCTACTGAAGCGTACTTATTTTTAGTCTTTTTAGAATTCTTTAGTCTTCTTGTTGCTTTAGGGTTCTGAATCTTGTCAAGCTTCTCCAGGACCTCATTGGTGTAGGATACACCTTTAGGGTTGTACTTCTTTCAGCCAGGCTTAACGTAATTATTCTTTCCTTTATTATTTATGTGCACCTTCATGATACCAGTGTCTGTTAAATCATCTTTGAATAGGGCGGATTTCTTAGTACCAACCTTTTTGCCATTTTTAGGAGACTTCGCCATAGACTTGTTACCAGATTTAGGACTGAAGTGGGCTCTAGAATGCTTAGATTTCTTATTCTTCTTTCTTCCTGGAGAAACAAATGAAGTATGAACTTTCTGGGGCTTATTCACTAATGCAGTCTGTGGTCTTGACCTTCTCGGCTTAATTTTTTTTCTAAATATAAAACCAGCCTAATATACTTATTCATTGCCATGACAGTTTGGTTGAACTTCTTCTTAGCCTCATTAGTGGTCAGACCACCTCGCTTGCCACTCTTTTTGCGTCTGTATCCTTTTCTTCGAGGTGAGAACTTCCTAGGCTTGCCGAAGATATAGTCATCACTTTGTTCGCTGTCTTCACTAACATCAAACACCATTGGTGGCTGAATGTAAGGAGGAAAATGAGCCAGCTTCTTCCTAGGATGTGATGAAGCCCTCTTATAGTCATAAATCTGGTTGTTCTTGCTTATCGAGACACTCATCGAAGTCTGTAGCCCATCGTTCCTCTCCCGACAAGGCCGGCTCACTCTCGGCTTCGCCGAGCGGGGACGGAACGGAGCTGGAGAAGGAGACTTAGTGGGAGAATAGTTCTTAGGAGGAGCGATTGGAATTGGCTGTCTCTTTGGCTTAGGTTCTTTAGTGGGACTTTTACTCTTTTGAGGAGATTTTTGTGGCTTCTTAGCAGGTTTTTTGGGTAAGGGCTTAGGTTTTGGAACAGGTTTTGGCTTTGCTTTAGGGGTTGGTTTTGTTTTTGGAGTTGGTTTTGCTTTAGGAGTTGGTTTTGCTTTGGGAGTTGTTTTTTTCTTTTTCGAAGATTTAGAACTGTCTCTTGACTTTTCAGTACTTCTATTTGGCCTACTCTCAATATCAGGGGTTTGTTTAAATTTCGCAAATTCTTTATCTTTCATACTACTGTTTGTAATCATTTCATTTTTGAAAGGAGAAGTATCTTGAAATGGTGAAGAACTTTTCTTAATGATACTTTCGCCCCTCTTTTCCAATTCTTTTTCAACTAAGTCTCTTTCAAATTCACCAAGCGAATCAGGGTCATTATTATAAAGTCTAATAAGTGTATCTATCATTTCTGTGCCTCCTTCTTCCCCCTCTTCAACAATCTCCTCTGACTCAGAAGGCTCTGGCTCAGAAGGCTCTGGCTCAGATTCAGACTCAGTGGTATCTTTCTTTGTCTGAAACTGGTTTAGGAACTTATTTTCTTTCTTTTCTTCCTTTTCACCATCTTGCTTATTATAAAACTTGTTATAAAAATTTGTTTTCTTCTTTTCCGGCTTCTCTTTACTCTCATCTTCCTTCTTCGTATGAAACTGATTCAAGAATTTATTTTCAGTCTTTTGTGGCTTCTCATCATCTTTATTGGTATGGAATTGGTTCAGAATTTTGTTAGAGTTAGACTCTTCCTTGTCTCCTGCAAAGAGGTTACTTGCCATCTGCATTCCACTAAGAGCGTTGTTGGTGAAAGCAGGAGGGTTTGAACCAGATGGACCTATTTTTCCCTCATCTTCAATACGTTCTTGGTCACTATCATCAGGAATCTCTTCGTCATAATCAATATAATCATCTATTACTTCTGAAGATTCGTCAGATCTTGACTTGAATGGACTTTTGCTCTTATCTTTGCTATTTGAATGAGTCCTAAAATATTATATATAAGAGAGTAAACTTACGCTACAGCTGGTTTGGGTGGACTTCTGTCTGATTCAGTATTATCATCCTTGAAGTAATCATCTAAGCCTTGATCAGATACTTGGTCATCAATGACATCTACAGATCAGCAATATTTTACCATCATAGTTGAGCTTTTTCTTTTTATCAGAACTATTTTCTTTCCTTCTTGAATCCAAAAGCTAATTTGTTATGAATACTCTTACAGGATTTGAACTCCTCGTTTGACTCTATAGTGTCCTTCTTAGGCTTCTGAGGCTCTAGAATGATCAGGATAGAAATGCTTACTGACATCAATTTCATCATTCTCAATTATCTCAGTATTTTTCTTCTTCTTTCTGAGTAAATCTCTAATATTTCCGACAGGTAAGGCGGAAGGATCTTCTATCAGCTGCTTTTCCTGTAGCTCTCTTTCTCTTTCTTTCTAGTTAATTTATTAAGCGTCTCATACCTTTCTTTGAAGTTCTTGTTGCTGTAACTGCTGGGCTTGTATAGCTTCTTCGTCTTCTTCCTCCTCTTCTTCAACCTCCACACTAATATTTAAGAAATTTTACTTACCTGCTGAGAATCAGAGAGTGAAGGAAATTTAAAAATGCCAAAATACTTGGGAGGTCTCCTTGCACTATCATATAGCCATCAAGATCACTCATGTCAATTTCTGGGAAAAGTTCTTCTGTATACTCACTATGGAAGGATTAAGTTGCTGTTCCTACATAATTGCATTAATATTTTCAGCTCTTTGTTCAAGTGTGACACCTGGATGCATCTCTTCAAGACTGACTTCAGGAAATAAAAGTTCTCAAATTCTCATATAAAACGTATCTGCTTGAAAATCCTGAATATTGAACACCTGTTGGTTGATCCCAATAAGCGCAAGAATATCATTTCCTATCTTGAGGATCTACAAAAAACTCAAACCCAAGGTTACATTCATGTACATCTCCTTATCCTGATATGTTGCCATTTCCTAATTCAAATTATATTTAAATTCAATAAATCTCACTGACTACGGGGTTTTGGGGTTTTGGGGTTTTGGGGTTTTGGGG